AAAAAAAAAAAAGAAGATCAAAAGCAGTAATTTATGAATGAAATATTCAAAGTAAAAATAGCGCTACTACTATGAAAAAAAAGTGCAGATAGAAAGCGAATAAAAAACGATAAATAAACATGATTTGGTGCTCAAATAAAGAAGTTATTAAAAACTATCGTACCTCCTGTAAAGAATCAAGAGGAAACAGTTGTATTGGTAAAATAAAGCTTGCTATATCAGTACCTTTTACGAGTGCCGTCTCCTTCAAAGTCCACAGCATGATCGTCCATTATCAGAGCCAGAACTGGCAGGTGCACTCAAACTCACAAATAAAGAGTAATGTATGGTATCTTAAAATCCACTGTCGACCGGTCATCAAACTGAATCTACTTACTCCAAATGGATTATATGAAAGAATAAACGTATGTCATCAAACTGGCTATTTACCACACTGAAAAACAAAAATAAAAAAGGATGAAGAACAAACAAGCAAAAACATAGCAACGAAAAAAATTCTGCATGCGTAGCTTATTTTAATAACCCATAATTGTAAAAAAAAAAAAAGAGTAGAGGAAAATGAAATAAAATAAAGGTGGTCATCAATCAGGCACCGAAATTGTTCAGATATAAGCAACACAAAACGTAGTGATTCATATTACAAAATATTAAACATTACTAAATTGATTTAAAAAAGGTTAGTAAAATTACTACTATTTTCATTTCTTTCTTGAAAATTTTTTGTTAGATAAACAGTGAAACACTGCAATATAAGTGTACTTAATAATTACCAACAATTTCTCAAATTAATCAGTTTTTTTTTTCTGCAAGAACAAGAAAAACGAACGAAACAGATAAGAAGGAAGAGAAATCACATTATGAACAGTCAAATAGATATAACTAAAAAAGACTGATCAAAGTTAAATCAGTTACAGATAGACCATAACCATCATATGTATACTGCCGTTCAGTTGATACTTGCCGACTTAACCGATGGTGACGTTAACACTGCCATTCTGTTTACACACCAAATGTAATTCTCGAGACTCTATCTGCTGCTGTTGCCTATATTATTGTAGCTGTTGTTGCGACTTCCACAACAATCGTAATATAATAGATTATACAGTTTGCTGCATAAAACTTAGTTACTGCTGTTGATATATTTGCATACTAAAATGCTAAAAAGATGTCTGTTTGATGGGGGCGGAAAAAAACGTTATCTGCAAATATAAAGATGGTAAAAAAAAAATTTGCCTTTTTCTGTTTAATCAATGACAGCAAATTACCCAGTCATTTATTCAGCTTAATGCTTAAAATAAAAAATTCTGCTAGATTATTTCTACTACTATAGCGCAATAATAAAAAAATTTTTTTTTGCTGTCTGAATTCAATTCATTTCCTAACGCTAATCATTGCGCAATTTGTTTGTAAACTTTTACTGCTGTTATAACATAATTTTATATTACCGACTTTAATCCATAGATTTTAGAATCTGTCCAAGACAGCAGATAGTATTACTTAATTGCTAGTTGTTCAGCAACATCCGCTCAGGTAAATTTGGTAAATTTTTAACACGCAAATAATCAAACATACACAAACAAAAACATACGGTTTAGTAGACTTCAACTCAATCAGCTGATAAGCATTAACTTCTAGAAATATAAGAGTTAAAAATTTTAAACAATGCTGCTAACTTTCTTCTGCAGCAGCTGTCGTATCAACCAAAACCTGTGAACTTTAAAACATTCATTTAACCCCATTTTCTAAGCTCTCTTAACACAAGTTTAGAAATACACAAACATACAAACACACATAAATACAAAACGATGACAACAACAAAAACAACAACAACAACAACAACAACAACAGCAGCAGCAAAAACTAAGCCTAATTTTGTAATTTTAACAAATATTGAATCTTTCAAAATCAAAATAATTAATAAGAAATAATATTTCTTTCACAGTCATAGTAAAAGTAAATAAACAAACACTTTTTTCTTTTTTTTACAAAAAATAGAAAATAAAAAAGGAAGAACGAGAAGAAAAGACAAATCAAAAATAAAAGTAAAGACCTAAGTTCTTTGGTATTAACTACCAAAGAAGAAAAAAAAAAAAAAAAAA